GGCCACGCAAAATTCGCACGTCTCATCCCGAAGTCCCCATCATCCGACTACCTGCCAGACCAAGAGTCGTACATATTCCTACCGACATTGTAGCAGTCCGATTCCTCAATGTCTCCATCATGCCGTTTTGAAAAATGAAACATGCGACACTGAAAAAACATGAAATACCGTCCGGAGTGGAACTAACTTGCTACAGGCCCTGATCTAATGTGTGTGTGTGTGTGTGTGCTGCATCTGCTCGGGTGTGGAGGCTTCGGGGATTTGAAGTTTAAAGGGCAGGCTACACCACAAACCCTGAACCTCGAAACTCCACAACCCAGGGCTCAACAACCACCCTAAACCCCTAAACTTCTAAACCCCCAAACCCTAAAGCCTAATCCCAAACACTAAACCCCAATCTCTGGGACTCAAGGTGCTCCTCCGCTCCGTCGTCCGGCGCAGGTTGCACCCGAGAATGCTCACGAGTTTTTCTGCCGCAAAAAAGGAGCCTTGAAGCCCTAGACAAAAGCCCAATGAGGGGTAGAAGGAGGGACCCCTAGAAGGGACCCCTAGAAGGGACCCTTAATCTTATTCCCCTATGTAACCCTTATATATACCTTATATATATATATATATAGTCTAACCCACCCTGATCCCTAGGCCCTTGAGAAACACATCAACCTTGGCCCTAAACGACAGCAACGAGATTTTTTTTGCGATGTTCACCCTTATACTAACAATCCTTCATCGGGATTTTAATAGGGTACTATAATCCTTATTAAGGACTGTCAGCAGAAGGGGGCCTCCGCGCTTAGTCAAGAAGCACAGGGTTATCACTTATACCTTCATGAAGGTTCTTCGGGCTCGCAGAACCTGGGGGCACACAAACGTGTCGGAGCGCCCAGTGCTCTAACAACAACGAATTACTCTTTGAGTCAAGCAAGACAGAAGGCTGAGCATTCGACCCTAAACCCTAACCCCTAGAACAAATCATGTCTGCAAACAGACGCATGCTGAGAATTGATCAACCCGCGTAGCCCTGAAACCCCAGAACCATCGTTGCCGTGATACCAAAAGACCGAAAATCCTAAAACCATAGTGGCCCTAAACTTAGGCCCTAAACCCCCCACCCTTACAGCGCTGAAGCCCAGGCCCTTCCGTCCGCCTCAGCCCGCTGCACACCCTTCCCCGCGTCCCGTGAGCCGAAAAAGTGGGAGGTTCGGGTTCCTCCGCCCGAAATGTTGAGGCTTTTGGCCAAGCTCCTATATCCCAAACCCCCCTAAACCCTCTGAACCTCTGAACTTCTGAACCTCTGAACCTCTGAAGCTCTGAACCCTCTGAACCCTCTGAACCTCCAAACCTCTGAACCTCTAAACCTGTAAACCTCTAAACCTGTAAACCTCTGAACCTCTAAACCTGTAAACCTCTAAAACATTAAGCCCCAAACGGCCGAGGAAACCGCCCTGAAACTGCATCTTCGACCCGGGGGCGGTAGGGCTCTTAAAAAAAGATGTGCGCGAAAGGGGGGGCGGTTCTGTATTGTGGTCCCTGAAGGGTTTAGGGTTTAGGGTTTAGGGTTTCAGGGAACAACCCCCCAAAAAAACCGGTGTGGTGCTCTAATTGCTGGAGGCTTGCGCGAGGCTGTCTTCGAAACACACAGGAAAGTCTGCTAGTTCAGGGCTTAAGGAGATGTGCTTATGTGTCTTCTGGACAGATCCGCCCAAGGTAGCGCTGAATACTGCACCTCACAGTTGTCGGCTGTCTGAAGCAATGTCGCCAGATGCACCTCATGGGGATGCATCTAAGCCCTAAGGACTGTCAATCAATCTATCGGCAGACTTGCGGACACCGCCCTGAGACAAGCTTGTGGGGTTTGTCTGTAGAGCTCGAGCGTTGCAGGGTTTAGGGCTAGAGGGGTTAAGTTGTTTGGCTTAGAGGGGAGTAAGTTCGTGGGGCTTTAGGGTTGTGGGGTTCGGGGCTGTGGGGCTTCAGGGCTTGAGGGTTTTTAAGGTTTTTGCACGTAGGCTCCAGGGCTTTAGGCATTTTCTGGGCTTGTTTAGGTTTTGAGGCCCCCCAACCCCCCCCGCCCCGCCCAAAGCGACCCAAAGCTGGAGCCAAAAGGACGCTTGACAGAGATGTCGGAACCTGTTTTCCAGGGTTCAAGGCCCGGCCCTCAATATGTTCGGCACTTCTTCTCCCTTCCACGCCTCCTCCAGGGTTTAGGGCGAGCTTAGCCATTCAGTGTTTTTTTTAATTTGTAAGTTTTGGGCTTGGTCTTTCAGCGTCTTAGGGTTTGGGGGGTCACAGAGTTTGGGGCTTATAGTGTTTAGGCATATAGTCGACCCAAACTCCAATATGAACCCCAATAATCTGGCCAAGACGCGTCTCAGACTCGATCATTGAGCAGATCCTGCAGACAGCAGATAAAAGAGGGCTCATCTAAGCTGGCCTTTCCCCAGCTCCCACCATCCTAAAGGCCTAGCCGCTAGGCCTCGGCGCTAAACCCTCAAGCCCCTGAGGGGAAAAAAGGTCCTAGAAGGACTGAAGTGTCCTACTCAAAAGCCTGAGGGTTGCGCGGCTTTGCGTTCTGATGGGGGAGCCATACACACCTGTCGTGGGTTTCAGAGGCCTCGGTACATGATGCCAGGTACTGCACTTGTTGAGTTCCGGAGTGTCTGGAGCCGCCCTGAACCCTAAGTCCCCTTCAGGTTCAGGGCTCAGGGCCTTTCCTAAAATAGGGGCCCAAAAGACGACAACCCCTTTATCCCCAAACGGGTACCCCTAACTTTATAGGGATCAGAAAACACATGACATGTCACCTTGTCATAGATCGGTTCCGAGGCAGACGGATGGAGGAAACTTCTCGACCTCGGAAGGAGGGTGTTGGAGTGAGTTTAGGGTTTGTGGTTCAGGGTTTTGAAAGCTAATCTCAGATTTAGGCCTTCGAGGCCTGTGAATCTGTACCGCAGAAGCACTTGCTGGACCTCTGCTTTCTTTGCCTCTGCCTCTGTTCCTACGAACCATGCCTTCCTTCCCGGCAGGGCCGGTCCCGCCACATTCTTTCTTCGACCCCACACTTCCGCGCTCTTTGGGGAGGTTTTTGGTGAGTGGCCAGTGCCTGCATGTCTGGCACGCTGCTCTAGCGCTCCACTGCCTGTCCGGAACCGAGTGCCCCAAACCCCCCAACCCCCGCCTAAACGCCAGATCCGACACTTGAACTTGCCTCGCAAGCCATCTAAACCCTAAACCCTAAACCCTAAACCCAAAACCCTAAACCCTAAACCCAAAACCCTAAACCCCCAAACTGCTAAGCCTTCTGTGACCTAAAGACCGCACCGTGGAATCGAGGCAACGTGAGCCCTGAGGTGACGACCTCGCTTCCTCCACATGTGCAGGGTGCCGGAGCCTCAGAAGCTTGGGACTTGTTGAGCTTGGGTTAAAGCGATGCTGTAGGCTTGTTTTTAAGGGTTTAGGGTTCAGTGTTTAGGGGTGTTTTGGAGCTTTTTTTAAAGATGACAGGGTGTTTGGGCTAGGGTGTTGAGATGTGGTGACCAGGTCCAAGGTGTCTGCAACAAGCCGGGTCTTCCGGCCTTGGCTTTTGGTTGAGGTGGTGTGCGGGAGCTGGGCTGGAGGCCATATTTGTAGACCTAGATGACGAGCTTTTCAGGGCTGTCTTGACACCACCAGATTGGGATGTTCCCCCTAATAGGGGTTACTAGAATCCCTATGAAGGACTGTTAGTACAAGCGGGAAACTCCCAACCACCAGATGATACCCCCCTTGGCCCTATAAACCCGAAGCTCATCCCTGCACACTGTCAAGGCAGCTTGGATTCGAAGACCAGTGCTTGAAGACACATTTCGGGTCTGCGTAGCCATATGTTTAAAGGCCTATCAAGGGGGATCGGTCGCGGTATCCATAAGGTTTAGGATTTAGGCATCGGTTGCCTGCACCATGTCGAGGGATGGATGGTTTGCCAGGCACGTTGTGTCTGCATTCCGGCTTGTGATCCACATACTTCTCCCTAAACCCGAAGCAAAACCCTGGAAGGCTTGCGGCTTAGAGGTTTTGGGCTCGAGGTTGTAGAATTTAAGGTGTAGGGCGTTTGGGATCCTGTAGCAATCGCAGAAACCGCAATGCTCGCTGCCTCACAGGGCTTGGCGTCTAGGGCCAAAAACCCTAAGCAGTAAACAGCAAAACCCTAGACCCAAAGAATCTTAAACACACCCCCGCACCCAGAAAAGTTGACTTCGACTCTAGGACGCCGGCGCAGGATGCCAGTAGGCATCGAAGGGAAATCGATCCGCCAGGTTTGGTTCTGACCGGGCCTCTACAGGGTTTGGGGGCTTCAGGGCTTGAAGGTCTTAAGGCTTAAATGGCTTCTAGGGGTTGGTTTAGGAGTTCAAGGTGTATGAGAAGGCTGAGAGTCTCATAAGTTTTCCACCCGAAAAGGGCAAAGTCGCAGCAGGGGTGAAGGGTCCATGAAATCCTGAAGCTTGAAACCTAAGCGGTCCTTTTCCTTGTTTTAGGACTCCCAGCACAGTCGACAACCACAAACACCTAGCCACTAAACCTTGTAACCCGAAACCCGAAACTTTTGAACAGTCTCATATAGCGGTTGGAAGAATCACTAATACTGTTCCCCCATGGGCCCTTCATAATTAACCCGGTTCGAATTATTCAGGCCCTATATTACAAATCATACCTGCCTTCGACTATTTGCGGTGTTGCGGAAACATGTCTCTTTGATGGGCATATTTCTTGTTCTAGTTTAGGGTGCCGAAGCCCCAAACCGCAGGTTCTCTAAAAGTTTCGGACCCCCAAAATTCAGATCAGCCCTCCTCAACAACGGAACGTCTCAGCTGAACTCATATGAGCCCGAAGTGTGAACCCTCCCTCAAGCCATAGCCTGAAAAGCCTCAAAATATGCCCCCCTTTAAAACCCCCAGAAATCATGCCCAGTTGATGGTGACCCGCAACCAGAGACCTTACGCCCCCAGCAAAGTGCTGGGAGGCCCGGCATCCAACGCTCGCGCGGCTCGCAGCGACAGCCGACGCGATGGCTCCGCGAAGCGGAACTCCGCTCGGAGGCGGAAGGCAACCGGCCTTCAAGGTGAGGGAGCGCAGGGTTTAGGATGCTCTCACTCCCCGGCCCCGAATATTCAATCATACATGCTGCCATAACAAGATACAATATATAAGATGGGAGAGGATGACTTGCAGGTTCAAGGTGCCTTGTAAGTAAAGGAGCCCCCAAAAAGGCAAAACTGGCATAACCCATGGCCCGTATGTGTTTCCTCCTTCAAGCTCTAACTGAGGGTTTTGAGGGTTCCATACTCAAGCCTATAATGCATAATTATAAGACATTCTTCAGCTCGCCATGCATACTAGCTAGATGTGCTTCCAAAGCCAGAATAACAGTGAAGCGCCACACGCACATGTTGAGCGATGCATGAACCTTCTACCTCGAACCGTAGACTTAAGATCCGGAACCTGAAGCTCTCAGCTGTTAGCCCCCCCCCCTCCGAAACCCCAAACCCCCCCAAACCTAAACACCTAACGCCCAAACCCTAAACCGTAACCCTAACCCTCCCCCCCTACCCCCCCCACCACAACAACCCGAAACTCACTCCGAGGTCCCGGGCAGCAGCGGCAGCGGCAGGAGAAAGGGCAGCTGCGCATAGCCGGACCTGCCAGGACTTGGGGCGAACGCCTTCGTCGTTGTTGTAAGTATGTTGTTTGCTGTGACGGAGGGGGCTTTGGGATTCGGATTTCGGGAGGGGGTGAAGGCTGCCATGCGAGTATCTGGATGTATTGAGGGTTCAGGGGTCTGCTTTGAGGGAAAGGGCCATACCTCGTGCTTTGGGTAGGAATACTTATATACAGAGTACCTTCACGGCGGTAGCATCTAAGACATTCCCTATCTGTGCCTACCTGATCGGTTCGCTTTGGAAGTTATCTCTTACCTCACATCCATGTGAATACAACCTAAACCCAAAACCATCATGATCTCAAGCAGCACAGCAGCGCAGCCTGAGCGCCACAGCAGCAAGGGTCGCCACGTCCCCCAGGAAGAGGGCCATTATGGCCTGCACGCTGCCCAGGTTTTTCGGGCTTTAGCGAGTGGCTTCGTGGCTGAGTGATGCTTAGGTTCTGGACCCTCAGATGCCCAACAAGCCCCTTAAAGTCCCTGTTCTTGATTCTAAGTCTAAATGCCTACGCTATGAGTACATGGGCCCCATGCTGATTATTGGAGCAGAATGTACTAATCGCTTCCCCCTTTTATTAAATACCCCCCCCCCCCCCCAATTATAAAAAACACTTTCCGGTAAATCCTGCCGAAACCGGCCCCGCCTTTTCATCCCTATTCCGGGTTAGGGGGTGAGTTGAGTGAGTGGCTGCAAAGCCTCTGTCTGAGCCTTGCTGTGCTGCGTGAGCTGGTCTCTCTCTCTCTCTCTCTCTCTCTCTCTCTCTCGCTCTCTCTCTCATCTCTACACCCAAATTACTTAAGGAATTACTTAAGCCCTCCAGGCCCTGAAGCCTAGACCCTAAACCCTTTAGACTCCAAACGTGACATTTGGATAACAACATCCCCCTAATAATAAAACACACGTTTCCCGTTAATATTAGGGGGAACGGATTAACCTCTAACCCTTTCCTCCTGCAACCCTGAAGCTCTAAACCCCAGAAGCACACAAAGGTGCGCGCCTGATCCCAGAGTAGGTACCAGAAAGCACCTCCTGAGTCGAAGCGGGGAACGTGGACCTGAGTTGGGTCTCGAGCGGAGGATTGAGGGTTAGTTTAGGGTTTAGGGTATGAGGGCTTAGGGGTATTTTGGGGTGTCTAGGGTATTTGGAGTATCTAGGGTGTGCAGGGCTCCGTGGTTCTAAGGATTTGGAGGGCGAAAGGTGTCAGGTTTAGCACGAAGGCTTCCTCATTCAAAATCCACCAACAAATCTAAATCCGTGAAAACACTAAGAGGGAGCTGCCTTCTGGACCTGCTCGAAACTGTTTAAGATGCCACGGGCCGTGCAGGACAAAACGCTGCCTGACTTTAGGTGTCATGCCAAGGCATCTGCCCATTCTGTGCATGCAATCAACAGACGCAGCAGTGACCTGCTAACGTCAACTTACATAGTGCAAAGGAAGGACCACGAAAATAAGAAAGGCAGCCATGGCAACAGTCTTCAGGAGACTGGACAGAATTGGCGCACTGAGCTCAAGGATCCCAGCTCAACACCAAGGTCGACCTCAAGACCCTAAACCCCTAAACCCCTAAACCCTAAACCCCGAAGCCCAGGGTTCACCCCTGGGTACTTCAGGTTCCGGGGCTAAGATTTCAGGGTTTAGGCCCCAGGGTGCTGACCACCCAGGGTTGTTTGAATGGTTTGTTTAGGGTTTAGGGTTTAGGGTTTAGGGTTTAGGGTTTAGGGTTTAGGGTTTAGGGTTTAGGGTTTTGGGGATTGGGGCAGGGACCAAGAGATCCTCAAAGCTCGGCGGAGGTAGCACTCTGGACCCAAGAGAAACCTAGGAAGAATAAGGGTCCCCTTTTTGGTGTGAAAGTGTTTGTCAGGGAAAATGAGCCCTAAGAAAAGGAATTACGGCCTACTCTGGGTCCTAGTATTCCTACACCTTAGCCTCAGATGGCCCTTAACACCCTCTGAAAAACACTCCTGAATATGATCCTCTTTAGCCCAATAAGGGGAAAAATTGAAACGTCCCAAGGGCCTCCCTTAGCCCAACAGAAGGTGCCCTCAGCTGCTGACGTACAGGTATCGCAGTGCCAGTACCAGCCAACGGAGAGCGAAGAAGAGAGCCTCAGGTGCCAAGGATCAGGGAGTTTTTAGGGTTTAGGATTGGTTGAGGGTTTAGGGTTTAGGGTTTAGGGTTTAGGGTTTAGGGTTTAGGGTTTAGGGTTCAGGGTTCAGGGTTCAGGGTTTAGGGTTTAGGTGGCGATAGCAACCTCCCATTACAGCACTCATTTTTGGATGCGCCATGTGCAAGGGAACCCTGAATGCGCCAGTCCTACTTAAAGGTTCGTGGCTAGCCAAAAGTAGGGTTTAAGGTTTAGGGTTTAAGGGTCCTGGGTACCCCAACGGCGCTTGTGACCAGCTAGCTTGCTCTCAACTCAGTTTATCACCCTACTTCGAACGCCCCCAAGCCCCCAAGAAAGCTCCGAGTAACCCCTAACCCTGTGCGAGCACGGTTTAGGGTTCTGTTGGGAGAAGGCTGGTCTGAGGTACTTGGAGCCTCAAAAGTCAAACCTCCAAAACCACAACTCTACCTACAGCAGAGGGATCTACTGTGTTGGACGACTCGTGGTCCGAACAAGCTTTGGAAGCTCCTCCAAAGGACCTAGGTACATCCGCATAACTGTAGGGTTTAGGGCTTCAGGGTCAGGAGGGCTTCAGGGTTTACATTAGGGTTATCGTTCGCTACATGCCTAAAGAAAAGCACTTTGAGGTTTGCGGAAAACATTGCTCCAAGCTTACTGACTACCAGACCTTTCAGGGTGGTTCCGACCATCCACGAGCCTTCAAGTACCCCTAAGACCTGCCCAAATCGACGATCACTCACATCCACGTTAACCAAAGGCTGTGGGGTGTTGAACGTTTCGGGCAAGGAGACTACCATCTGGGGGCAACAGGTCCTTCCCCCCTCCCCACACAGACACACAAACAAATGGGGGCTTAGGAACATAAGGGACCCTTGATATAGACCCTCAAATAGGAGGCTGTGCGGGTTTAGGAAGAGAAGGGCACCCTTGATATAGACCCTCAAATCGTAGGCAACAAGGTACCCTTAGTTTCGGAAACCCCCCCCCCACATGTCACAAAGAAGATAAATTCTGGTGGGAAGGACAACGGCTCCTGGGGCTCCTACCCCGGCGACAATGATCAGTGGTGCAAGGGCGGCGTAGGTCACGCAGACAAGTAGCCTCGGAGTTCCGAGCTTCTGGCGCTGAACGGCCGATGGGTTCCGGCTTAGGGTTCAAAAGCTTCGGGCTTAGGCTTGTGGAGGGTGATTGTTGAATGGTGCCAGTCTTGGCGATTGCCCTGCCCGTTGACAACACCAAGCAACTTTGGGACGTCAGGCTGGGGAATGCATCTTGAAGCGAGCTGGGCATAGCTGGACTTGCATGAATGGCACACGTGCGTTCAATTCTGACATCACTTGGTTGGCACTGAAGTGCAATCCTTGCTCCGCTGCCCCGAAGCGAGAGAAACTTCGTCATAACATGAAAGTTTGTCCTTACTTCCAGGAAAGGTGTGTCTCTAGACGGGTTTCTGGAACATTTATCTGGCCACTGCCTCACTCCATACTTATAACTATCCACAATGCTTCAAGCACGGCTTAGGGAGTGCGGATGTGGGGTGGTGGGGTGGGAGTGGAGCGTTTGTTGCTTAATTCCTGGAAGTTTTTGCGTTACTCGATTCCTCAAACCACAAACCCACTCCAAATGTCAGCCGGGCGACACCAGCAAGAGGGCTGAGAGGTCTGCAGCCTTGGTCATAAACTGAGGGATCTAGGCTTTAAGGGTCTTGGCTTGAGAGTTGCGGGCTTAGGGCTCCGTTGACAATCGAATTTCGGGATATCAGTGCCCAGCGGACCTGTGCTTGGATCCGCGGCTACAGAGGACAAGTGCGAGAGAGGCCAGCCCAAGAAGCATCTCATGAAGAGCCTCCGCCTTGGAGTTACAGATTGCAAACGCGCAGACCGTAAACCCCGAAGCCTGCCTTCACCTACGTTCAAGCAGGAGGGGTACATTGGGAGCTTTGAGTCCCTACAGCCGCCAACACAAAAGCGTCTTATGCCTGAACACCTCTAAGGTGGAACTCCAGTCTTGGCTCTTGGCAGTTCGGGTTCAGACTTGAAAGGTTTAAGGTTCCGACTTCTGGGGCCTACGGGGCTTAGGGTCTCAGGTTCTTGGAAAATCTCAGGAGTTGTCTTCAGATGGCCGCAGGCTTAAGACTCAGAATTGAGCCCAAACCTTCTGATGCTCAGCTTCCGGCCATAGGGGGCGTGTCCAAGCAGTCCTGTGTCTCCAGAGCCCCCAACCCTAAACCCTAAACCCTTTTACATTTAAAAAGCCCCGAAACCCTCTACCCCAAACTCCCTAAGCCCTAAACCCAGCAAGCCCGGGTCCCAAGGCTGGGGGGTTGCAATTTGCTTGGGCGGTGTCAACGCAGCCTTTAAGGAGACGGCAACTCGAGGTAGCCCAGCAGGCATCTCACAAGAAGGCTACTCCTCATTTTTGTGTGCTGATAGGTCATCAGGAAAATCACAGGGGAACCAAGACATAGCAGAAACAATGCAACAAGGGGTACAGCTGGGCTTCCTAGGGATGTTGGAGCAACTCCTGAGTTCCGCGGGAAGACAGCGAGCTTTGAAAGGAAGAGCCTAGGATGTGGATCAGGGACGCTGGCACGTTGCGCAAGAAGGAGGAAGGCCTTGCTCACAGAAGCTTCTCCAAGCGATCCAGAGCTGGAGGCAGCTGTTTCGGAAGCAATGCTCTCAGCATATCTTCAAAAGCGCGAAATAGATCACGATTTCCAGGTAGGTTCAGCGCCTCGCTGTCGCTCGGATGTGCGAGCGATGATTGTTCTCGGGCAAGGATGGCTCAACACATGCTTGTTGTTCTGGCTGCTGCAGACCGAGTTCAGCTAAGTTGTGTAGCGTTGTGATGCTAAGTTGTGTAGCGTTGTGATACGTTCTCCATATACCGATGTTTGTATTCGTTACTGCCGTAGGTCCTCGGCCGCTGCAGCCAAGAACTGGCTCTTCTCCGTCTCCACCTGTTTAGGGTTTCGGGCTCAGGGTTTGGGGTGTAGGCTTCGGCTTCGTGCCCAGGTCCGATGGTTTATGGTTGAAAAGCCATACATGCGTTCTCAAGACCCCATAATGGGCCATCTTTGTCTAAGCCTAGGGCCACAAAAAGTTGCGTCGGCAGCTTTTGGTTCGGGACCTGGGGCCTTAAGTCGCAAACCCTACAATCCCCTTAAGCTCCCAAGCTTGCAGAGACATGACATGTGTATTTCTGCAGGGGTAGAAGGGCTTGCGGGCTCAGGGCTCGCGTCGCTAAGAGCTCTGGGTTTCGTGATCTTCCTCGCCCCCGAGCAATAGCCATTGAAGAATGTGCGAAGAGTCGACGAGTTCTACTGCACGGCAATTGTCCAGGTACTGCAGGGGGACTACTGCATTTCGGCTTTACCAGCCACGCGGATGGTTCTAGCCGCACTTAAAATTCTGGCTGCTTGCTCACATGTCGCGTGAAAGAATGGGATCACTGAAGGAGCTGCGCCGCAACAAGATCTCTCGATGGGGCCAACAAGAAAATTGCTTCAAACAAAATACTTTCTCTTCACCAGAAATCTCCTCCACAATACAAGAGGAAGGAAAACCTTTTTCCGAACAGCAACACTGGCTTAAACGGTCCGTGCTCGAGTTTTTCTGAATCGGCTCACGCTTTACAGAAGTTCGAGAGTCAGATACAGGCATGGCTGGCAAAAAACTGCGCCTTGACATGCGTACTTGGTATGATTTATTGCCGACCGAACTGAACCCCAAACCCTGCGCCACGGTTCGATCGCACCCTGAAGACGAAAAGGCCGGCACTGGAAGATGCTGTAAGTCGCAGATACAACTCAGAACTTGAAGCACATGACACCCTACCCCCTAATCACCAGGTTGCTAAACCCTAAAAACCCAAGTCCCAATCCACAATGAATGAAATCCCCACAGAACTCCTCAGCAGCAAGTATAGATGGGGTTCCCGGCTGCAGGCAGCCGCAAGAGACCCCTCAGGCGACGCCTGAAGCATAAGCAATTAACAGCCCATATTAGCCCCCAAACCCTAACCCCTAAAGAGCTTCAGAGGTTTCAGGCTTAGAGTGGATGTCGATCAATTCCTCGACAGTGGCGGATGGCCCAAAAATGTGCCTCTGAGGACCACATGAACCCTGCATCATCTACCCGAAGCTACAGTGATTTTCATCCCAGTTCTGCGGACTATAATCCGTTTTTGTGTCTTGCTCGTCCTCTTCCACCCAAAACCTGAAAGCCTAAAACCCGCAAACCCTTCCCCTCCCCTCGGATAGATACTCCGAAGATATAGCCCGCTTAAACCCCACGAACAAAAAAACACAAACCAGGTCTATCCTAAAAACCCAGGCCCCAATACAGCATGAACCACAGCCCCTACACCGAGAACCGTAAACCCTAAAACCCTAAAGCCCTAAACCCTAAAACCCTAAAACCCTAAACCCTAAAACCCTAAACCCTAAACCCTAAACCCTAAAACCCTAAACCCTGAACCCTGAACCCTGAGGCTCCGCGCGTGGCCACGGCCCACATCAGCTGCGCCAAAAGCGGGAGGCGCAGGAGACTCACGGGCCCAACGACCTTGGAACTTCCCCCGGAGACTCCATTATCCCTTATCAAAGTTTAGGGTTTAGGGGGTTATAGGGCAATTAGGGCGTTGGGGCGTTTAGGGGTTTACCTCCCTCCCCCCCTCCCACCCCTTCACCTTCCCCCTTTCGCTCCTCCCCCCCCTAAAAAATGCAGAAAGTTATTTGTGGGGGCTGCTCTGGGGGCTGTTTCTCTCAATACGGGGTATTTTTCGATTCACACTATTATAAGCTGTAAACCTTGTGTAGGCATTTAGTTCTCCTTATCCCTGTCATAATATTAATCATTTTGCATGTTGTAAAAGACTTTCCGATATACCTTGCAAACAACAATACGATGATATAACCCTGTTAACCTTACTGCTAGTTCGTGACATATAATTATCTAAGTCTAAAGAATTTATAGAGAATGAATATCATTTTGGGTTATAGTAATCAAAAACCCAGTTTTGTAATGACGTGTGTACAATACTTTTGCAACATGGTACTGTCATACGTATAACTAGACATGTTAAAAAAGCTTATGAGAACATTCTGTATTTTTGATGTGTTTGTGAAACTATATAAAACATTGTAACAAATTTGTGGTACAAAAATTACTTTTACATGTACTATATTTATGATCTTGATTTTGTCCTTGTATTCGTAACATGTCTAACTTTTTGTGTTTTCAGATACTTGAGGTTCAGTATATGACATTATACCAGTAAAAATAATGTCACCCCCCCACCCCCAAGATCTACACCCTCCTCGTCTACACTGCTCTTCTGCTTGCTTCCACGCACTTGTGTACAAGTAGCACACGCTGAAAACACTGTACATACCGATAAAATCGTAGTCGTCGAGTATTTCCGCGAGTATTTTACGCAACACAGCATGCGTGCAAAATGTATTCAAAAAAACTCGTGTTTTTTGTGTTTTTTTTCACTGGTCTTAATAAATAGATACGTGCTGAGCTGCACGGGTCAACACTGGGCCTGACGCGGCTTCTTTCAGGATTCCCAGGAAAGGATCTCTTTCTTTCATACAACAAGAACAACAACTAACAGGACAATTCCTACCACTGACCATAACAGAATCCTCATGGCTACTATCTATAGTAATCATTGGTCCTGTGGACTGATATCAGTCCGCTGCGTTTCGGGGGTTCAGCTTGCGGCGTGCGTCCCAATAGCTGTCCTTCATTGCTCACTCCAAGCAAGCTGAAAATAGGAATTCATACTACATCGACAAAGCCAGTATGTACTTAGTATTGAATTTCAACGCAATGAATATTGCCTTGGTGTGGTTTGAAAAATGTACGAGGTGTTTGAATAATATTTCAATTTGCCTATTAAACCAACATTTGGCTTGGAAAAAACGTTCCTCTCAAATTTGCTTCATTTGCATCGAAACACCTGAACACCCAAAAGCCCAAACTTCGCCAGAGAGTCTCCCAAGGCTTTAGGATTTGTGAATTTCCGAGAGTACTATGATCCTCACGAGGCAGAAAATAGGTTTCTAAGAAAAATATTCATTTTTGAGCTTGTCT